TTGTGGATTGGTGTCAGACATATGGGTTAATGGGTTAATGTTGGACTTGTGGGCTTGGGCAGCCCTGGGTTGGGATGTTTTCTTGATGCACACTTAACCATTATATAAAACTCTCTCTTATACATATGCGTTTCTGTGGATTTGTTTCTCTAAAGTACCCAGACTAACACAAATGGATAAACAATGATAGTCTGGGCATTAGGGAGCTGAAATAGACTGCTATTGGCCATTGTGAACCAAAAAATGGAATGGCTTACTGTGCCTGGAATATGACATGCTCCAGAGGAATCATATGTCTATCCCATCCTCAGAAAGGACATTTCAAGACCTGTCTTGAAGTACAATGCTGCAGGATACTATCTACCCACATATAAGGAAATCCAATAATACAAAGATTGTTCAAATTTATGCACCAACTACTAAAGCTATACTTAACATGTTATATTAGCTGCATCACGTCAATTCTGATCAGTGATCCTCTTGGACAGGGTGGAAATGGCTTTCTAAGACTGTTACTCTTAGGGAGTTAGAAAGCCTCATCTCTCTCCCACTATTAGAGTTAGTGATGAAGATCGAAGATTTCTACCGATGTCTTGAGTCTGAAATAGATCAAACATGCAATCAAGATACACTGATAACTATTGGCGATTGGAATAGAGATCTTGGAAGGAAATTGGAAAGTTGGAAAATATGGTCTTGGTGGTAGAAATGAAGCTAGAGATAGCATGCTAGAACAGGGCAGAACTGCCCCTATAGGTTTTTGAGACGGTCAACCTTCACAGGAGTAGTGAGCCTTGTCTTTCTTCTGCTGAGTGGCTGGTGGTTTCAAGACGCTGACCACATCATGGGGGGGTTATGATAGAACTGCCACATTGCACCGTTACCAGATCCCAAACCATGGCTAGGCATGGGCCAGCCAGTTGACACATGACTAGGCATTGGTGGTGCTGGGGGGGGGGCAGTTTAATCCAAGACACTATAGCACTAAGATATTCACAGCTTTCAGGAACTGGGATGCCTTTGAGGGAACGCTTTTTGACTAGTACCACCATGCCTATAAAGGGTGGGAGATGTTTCCTGGGAGGTTGCTCCTAGTTATAAGTCAGCTCTAGCTGAGCAACGCACTGCCCAACCATCTTCAGGATAGGTGGTAAGGTTAACTCCCTTGTTGCACCTACCTACACACTTTTAAACAACAGTGCAAAAAACCAAACAATAACAACAACAAAAAAACCCTCAGAGACATTGAGCCTCCACTCAAGTACTCCCTCAACGCAAGAATACTTTCTTCTAGTAAATTGGCATTCTATGATGCTCACCTTCCCGACACAACCGTTGAAGACAAAGCGGGTGAATAAGCAAATGTGGTGAAGAAAGCTGATGGTGCCCGGCTATCAAAAGATATAGCATCTGGGGTCTTAAAA